GGTCAACACCCAACTCTCCTGAAGTTTTTGATCGCAAAATTGAAAAAGAGTCATCTCCCTTTTCCATCTCTCGTAGCATCGGGGGATCCCTGGAGCCAACCGCTGCAGGAAACTGGACTAACTGGCACACCGCCGTCAACGTCCTGGAACTGAACTGAACTGACGCTGCTTGTTTTAGTCGGTCAAGACCTTAGCATTGTTTCTGGCGCCAACGTACCCTCGCGTCCCTCGTTCTCGTGATGACCCAAACAAGCCAAGCTACCGGGAAATCGTCTTCATTTGGTTCTTTTAGGAAAGAAGGTCAATATGAAGAAAAGAGCAAGCCAGCCGCAATTCGCTCCAGCAATATTGTAGCTGCAAAAGGTACCTTTTTATACGTCAATGTTTTCACAATAACCTAACAGCTGTTGCGGATGCCATCCGCACTAGCCTTGGTCCCAAGGGAATGGATAAAATGGTAAAGGCCAATTCGATGATCCTTCTATTTATCAGATTCAAGAACCGAAGGGTGATGTGACGATCACAAACGATGGTGCCACTATTCTAAAACAAATGAAGTTGTTACACCCAGCCGCCAAAATGGTTAGTTCTACGTTTTCTGGCATCTAGCTTTAGCTGGTCGAACTTTCGAAAGCTCAAGATATTGAAACCGGCGATGGAACTACCACAGTAGTGGTCATGGCTGGTAGTTTACTGGATGCATGCTCGAAGTTACTTGATAAGGGGATTCATCCGACAACGATTTCAGATGCATTTCAGAAAGCGGCTCAAAAAGCATGTGAAATAATTGAATCCATGGCGATCCCAATTGAATTAAGTAACATTGAGCAACTCACGAAAGTTGCTACGACTTCTCTGAACTCAAAAGTGGTCTCGCAACACTCGGATGCGCTAGGACCAATTGCTGTTAAGGCGGTATTGGACGTGGTAGATCCCAATTCTCCTCAATCAGTGACACTCGATGACATTCGTGTTGTAAAAAAATTGGGGTGAGTCTTCAGTTTTGCTTGAATCTCGTCGCAAACTTGATATTCTTTGTTTCCGTTGTAAGCGTTGTGTATTCATGTATTCATATGAAATATTGGTTTCTCGCTCGGTCAAACAACTTCTAACCGACCACCATTCTGAGTCTGATCTCATCTCAACATTTGCTGGACAAGCTTGGTGGTAACTAATGAAAACGAGATGTGTGAATTGCAATACCCAACGGAATGTAAACGAGATTCAACAGCTACAACTACTTTCCTACTTTAAAACTAAGTGAACACCACTTTATTGGCAAACACTGTTTGAATATGCTGCCTGTACACTTGCCTTGCAATATTTTACTTTTATAACGTGATGAACCACAGACGGGGGAGGAGGCCGTAGTTTAGAAGACCTGGTTCCGTAATGAAAACCGGTCACATGAGTCCCGGAACTGGAGTGTTCGATCGACTATACTTCATGAGAAACACTGGCCTCAGTATGGTTGACGGTTGATGTTTTGTTGCGGCTGATTGCCCTTTGTACCTCGCCAAATGCTTCCATGATACCAAGCTTCTGTTGGCAGGTCATTTCGGAATCCGAATCAACCAAGAGTGGTATGAACCACACCTTCCTGGTCGTGGTCTGGTCACCGACTCGATTGGTATCCAAGTGTGTTAGGCACCTTGAACGTTTAACCTCCTTCAATAGGCGTGATCCGATGAACTGGATACCGGCTCCCAATGAATTGCGGTTTTCACACCTCGCTACCTAGGCTAACCGAAGGCTCCGGTTGCGAACTCCCTAAGAGAATTCACATGAATTTGGTCTGGGAAACCTCACAGTATCAGGCCCTCAAGCAGATCCTGAACATTCTTCTCTTTATAAAGATTATCGTACTGTTATTTGTTCGACAATTTGAACTCGGGCGTGTGGGGAAAACATGAATATATAAAGGATGTAGCGATTTGATATTGGGGACGTTTTTATCGTTCGATTGCACCAGTAATGCACATGAATTTCGTTTGACTCAGTACAACCCGTGGATTTTCTGTTTCGTGAATTAGAACCGACTTATGCAAAATATTTGCATCTCTGTATTCGTGATGACCGACAAAGAGCACTGAGCAGCTGTTTCCTNGTTGGTACTCGAAATGTGAACCTCCAGGTTGGGACTTCAAACCCTTACCCATTAGCCACAACCGACGGTCATCGCAGTTAGATGTATTCAGCTAGTGGGGTGAAACCCACAAGATAATCAAGTGCTTGGTGCATATGGACCGTCGA